TCTTCAGTGAGACTAAGCGTGTCTCTGAGAAGGGTAATAAGTCTATCCATAGACCTGGAGTCAAGAGACGTGGAGGCATATTCAGCTTCCTCCTCACCTTCATCTGATACCTCCCAGACATCAGGGTCCTCATCAGAGCTGGAAGACTGAGGTTCCGCTCTGCGTCTCTTACTTGGACCACTAGATCCCGTGGTAGCCATAAAGCCCTCAGCAATAGCCTGAGAAATCCAGAGCTTAAGGTCGTCTTGTGGAGAGCTCCTACTGGGGGCATCAGCGACTTCCAACAAGCATTCCTTGCAAAGGTTCCTTCTATTCGGAGCAGGCGAAGAACAATTAATGCATTTATTTGACTTTTCCCGTGATTTTCTCGCTGGAGAATCCAAATGAATGCTGGGGCTGGAATGAAGCCATATATGACATATATTACAGGCTCAGTATGGCACTCTTTTAACAACACCCCCCCCCAATAAAATTAAGAAATGGCTCACCTATGTTTTCTAGAGAGGGATCTTGCAGAGGCAGAGGGAGAATCCATACTATAAAGAAGAACGAAAGGAAAATCCAAGACCTAATTCCCCAAAGGGATAAATAGACAAACTGACAAAGCAATACTTCCAATAAGTAGTAAAAACAGCAATCCTACCTTAAAGAGCAGGACATCCACTATGCAGCCAGGCAGCAGATAGGAGTAGCTGGGCACAAACTGGACACCAATGCTTCCCCAGGGGTAAACCAACATAAGGCTAGCAGATATAGCGCCAAGGCAGCTGTATTAGATGCTTTAAAAAAGGTCCGGGCAGCGAACAGCTGATTGCCCGGTTCGCGCATGCGCAGAGCGCTGGAACGCACGCTATGCGTTCCAAACGCTCGCGACCGGCATGCAAATTACTTCTGGTTTCGCCGGAACCGGCTGCGAGCAACAAACAGTCGGCTGGAACGCATAATGCGTTCCAGCCCCCAATGCCCGGGCACACAGGGAGCCCCAGGGAGCAGGGAATCCTGCACAGCCTCACATTAACCCATCAGAGGCTGGAACAGAGCCAGGGAGCAGGGAAGGCACCAAACAAGAGGCAAGAAACAGATCCTAAAGGACAAGACCCCTAAGCATGGATTCAAATACTGCCAACAAGGTATGGGGGGGGATATATAACCCCAATTAGTAGGGGCAGGCTGAAAACAGGGGGAATTTTTAAGGCTAACCAACCCCACAAATAAACAGAAACAGTGTCTCCCTCAAACACTTACTTCCCACGCTGCAGTTCAGTACTTACACTGAACCTGACCCAGTTAGTCCTGCTCATGCAGGCTGTTTACTGGGTCCTTCAAATGAAGAGAGGCTGAACTTCATTTGGAACGAACCCACGACAAACGCAGGAAGGTGGCCATAAAACAAAATGTAAAAAGTCCTGTAGAACTTGCTAAGGACAGGAAAAAAGACTGAGGTGTAGGGGGAGGAGGGACTCCTTATACCTATCAGTCTGATTAATTAATCTAATTAATTCCTGTCCTGTGACTGCTAAGGGAGGAGCTACCCATAAGTGATGCTGCCATGATTAGCCAGGAAAAAAGGTTTACTAGTGTCGGGATGTTTTAGTATGTCCGCAGAGGCAAATCTTTGTTTAAGAGTCTCAAAAGCATTCACAGCCTCTTTGGACCACACCGTGCTACTAACCCCTTTGCGAGTCATATTTGTGA